ATTTGCAATTGTTCTCAAGATTACTATATTTCACTTTTACAGTTAGACTTATATATGTTACATTTTATTATATTTTAAATAATAAACTATAATTTTACTAAATTAACTAAACTAAAATTATGTCTCATTCCAATTAAATTATTATTTTATTCTTTGTCTTTGTGAAACAGCCTAGGTGAATCATTTCTTCCTCAGGAATTAATTTATCGATTTCGGGCCAACATTGTTATCAAAACGAATGAGCCATTTGAAGAAGACTTGTGGGATCAGATTGCCATTGGTCCGCTACATTTCAAGGTATGGAATGGCTGTAGCTCTCTTTTGTAATTGCAAAGCCTAATGAGGAAAGACAAGATGCAGGAAACCAAAAGTGATCCTAGAAAACAATATTAGCTACTATATAGGTTTAATAGCAGCTTGTTTCATCTTGTTTATAGACTACAACCAAACTAACTTTGTTGGATCAAAGAAACAGGAACTGCAAACATACCTTGCCGTTTTCCACTGGTATTTAACAGTCTCAACTCAGGAGTAATACTGAATCTTCAAGATCAATAGCTTTGTTTTTCATAAAGTTATCTAAATCTCCTTCAAACTCAATTACATTAGTAGCGGTCACCTCATCCTGTGGTAATTCATTCATAGATTAATCATGTACAGGTACATTATGATCAGAATTGAGCCAAATCCATTTTACGCAATGGGCACAAAGAGAAACATTTACCTTTTAATACCCCATTATCTGACTGAGTTAGGAAAAGTTAGCATTTGTCTTGAATCAAGATATGTGTGGCCACTTTTTGAGCTGATTCAGCCCCAAAAGAGTTTAGATGATCTTTGCCACGGTCCTAGTAAAATTAATTGCTGGACACTTCCTGCTACAATTGCCCAGCATTCTAGCTGAATAATATTTCATAATTTTTCTATGTAAATTTCAGGTTTTAGGACCATGTCACAGATGCCTGGTTATCTGCATTAATCAACAAACTGGACAGCGAAACAAGGACTTTTTGCAAAAGTTGTCATCCATTAGAGACAGAAAGGTCAGTGTACAAGCACTGGTGTTTTAATGTTCCAATCTTCCGATCCTCTTCTTTTGCTGCTATTTTTCTTTACTGTAGAAATATTATCTTCAACTTTTTGTCATTATTTAATATATACAGTGTTCAAATGAATATTTAAAGCAAAGGTGACTGGTAATAAAATGGAAGAATTCTAAAAGGAATATCATTTTATTTAATGACGTGTAAGTACAAACAAAGCAGGAAAAGGTAGTCCTTGACTGCCTGTCCTAGCCTGATAACACAATGTCATTCTGGAGATGGTTAATGGACTACCTCCAACCCACCTCCTGCCCATGTGCATCTTACTGTCTTCTTCACCATCTTTGTTAATTTTAACTCATTTGCAATTTATTTATTGTTGTAAATATTTTATTTTGTTGTTTAACATATTGTAAACCACATGATCAGTTATTTATTTATTTATGTATTTATTTATGTGTTTGTTTGCTTATCTTCCACATTTATTTATACATACTATTTCTTAACTGCCTCTCTCCCTCATAGTTAAATTCTCTTTGTAAAGCTCTTTCCCTTCACCCCTCCCCCCAACCTCCCCCCGAAACATTCAGTTTGAGTATCACGAACTTCAACTATGGGGTCCCTCTAATAAAACATATTTGGGGAAATTCTGGGCAATTTCCTAAATTCTACAGATTAAATTCTGGAGATGGTACCAATTTTGGTCAGAAAAGTAGTATCTGACAAAATCAGAGAATAATAGAAATAAGGAATAGGAAGGAGCCATTATTCATCAATCATTTAGGCTAAGTGCAGGACTACAGAAATCAAATTGAATGCATGTGTGTTTAAACTCAGCTAGAGTACATATACAAAGGGAGACCATTATGTCTTTGAGTAATTATTTCCACTGATGAACCACTTGTTACAAATATTATAATATCCACTTAGAAAATCAGCATAAATTTAGAGAACATAAAATAAGAATGGTTGTAAGTATCATTTAAAATGTGGCTCTCCTTTTCTATTGCTTAGTATCTTCGTTTTAGTTCCTGGACTTTATATATCCAATCCAAGAGAACTGTAGGTTGATATTGCATAATCTACTTCATTATGGCTACTATAAGTAGACTACAATAATCTGAAACTATTTGTTTCCATTTAATGGTTGTCCTGATTTTTGCAGTCTAGTTTTGGAAGTCTTTATTTCATTTTATAAGCTGGCAAATGTGCTGTTTCTTTTTTTCAGACTAACTTTGGAATATACCTGGCAAATCACTCTGAGACACAAATCTCCCTTTCTAATACCTTGTCAGTAGGATCTGAGATCCTTATATTAAAGAACACTACATCTTCAACCTCAAATGAAGAGAATAAATCAGTCTAAGCAGCAAATGTATCTGTTTTGCAGAGAGTTCACATTTGTTGTGAAATTTCAATCTTCCTCAGTATTGGTAATATGCTATGATTATTTGTGAGCAATTTGGTGTTAAATCTAATAAATTCCATTCTTTCTCCCAACTATTTATATGATTATTTATATCTTTATGTAATTCTTATATATGTGTATTATTTAACATGCAGTATGATGTAAAATGTAAAATTTATTGCTTAACAAGTTGTTCTGCCCTCACATCAGCACCCCCAATAAGAGCAGGTTCTTTTGTAGTAGATAGCATTGCAGCTTCTTGGATCCTGAATTTAGTAGAGCTTCTTAATTTCCTAATGAGAGCCATCCTTTATGCTTTGGTATACTCTGCCCAGTTCTGCTTTTTCCAGAGCCATCCCAACCAAAATACAGCAGGAAGGAAAACAAATGAAAGCAAGGAGACAACAACAAATAGTATCAGGATGCCTGCGGGTACTCACAAGGAAGATAAGAAGCTCTAAATCAGGATTGAAGAAGCTGCATTATTATTAAAATTGTGCTAGTTTATAGTTACTAGAAATAATTACATCTATTTATTATTTTTAATAATTTTATTTTTATAATTTTATATAATAAAACAATTTTAATAGAACAATATAAGATATACAAACTGGAAGAAAAGAAAAAGAAAAAAATGCAAAGAAAGAAGGAAAATAGTATAATTTCTCCTTCCTTAAGAAAGCTATTTCCCTCTGGCAAGTATTAGCAATTACAAGTATTAGCAATTGCATAATCTCTTCTTAGCTAATAAATATAATTTTTTTCAGCCCATAACCCATCTATTAAAAATAGGCAACTCAAATAAGTAATCCATCCAGTTCAATCCAGTTACCAGCAAAAAATCCAAAACTATTTTAACTTTAACATTAACATGTATAAAATTCAACTTTCTACATCACAACTCTTAACTATAACAAAAATTAATTAAAAGGTCCCAATATTGTAATGCGTAGATAGTCCTCAACTTACGACCAATCATTCAGTAACTGATATTACAATCGAACACAAACAAATCTTATGATTATAAACCAGCAAAAGAAGGATAGAATACAAATAGGTAAAAATTTGAAAAGTTAAAAAAAAATACAAAATACACAAAATTAAAAAATGATAACGTATATGTAAAACCAGCAATCTAAAAAAAAATATATAGGGAGATAAAAGCTAATATAATAACAAAATACTGAACTAACAAATCATTAAGTGAGGTTTGATACATAGGCCATCATTTGACTGATTTCTATCACTGCTGTGCAAAACCTAGCAACACTATATTGATGAGATAAGGCTAGTACAAATGTCTATAGTATAAGCACTGTAGGAGCTCTGTTATTTCTATATGTCCAGAGTCGCAGGGGTATTGCCCCTTCAGGTAGAAAATTTTCCTGTATCTGCTTTCAGGAACAGCTCAGAAGAATGAATGAAGGCCCTCTGATGGCTAACTACTTCAAGTCTGAATAAGTATATAATGGGCAAGGCAGAATACCTGTTGGATTCACTGCCAATAAAAGTTGCAGACCTGGTTAGGTCCAGTTGGAGCTAGCTGCCTTCTATATGCTATTTAATAAGAGCTTTGGCCTAATCATATGCAATGCTGAGTATAGTTCTTGGAGAGAAGCCCAACAATTAGATTTTAGTTGTCCTTGCTTTGTTCCTTGTATTGAAAGTCATCCCTCATGGTTGAGGCCAAGGGGAAAAAGGATAGTTTAGACAATAGTTGAATATGATCATCCAAACTCTCACCTCAGATTTCATGGGCCTTTTTCCAACTTCAGGGTGGTATTAGAAACACATTTTAGGGACTTGAAGGGTCAACTTTAAAAATTTGGATTGAACAAATTCTAATGATTGCAAAGTTAGAAAAATGCCCCAGTTGGGCACCATAAAGTAGTTGTGCTATTGATTTGGCTTTGAATAGTTTTAGTGTTCCAGATATATAATGGCTACCTCTAGTCTTGAGGAATTCGAGAATGGCAGTTGAGTTCTACATTTTCAGCAACATCTCCATGGATGTTGAATCATTCATTCTACTGTTAGCAGAATGAACGATTCCCAGGTATCTGAAACAGAAGACCTGCTTAGTCCTGTGGCTATCCATCTTCCAAGCATGTCTCTTGGGCCTCTTGGTAAATGCTATGGTTTTGTTTTTGATAGTTGAGTACTAGCCATACTCAACTAGAATACAGTATTTCCTTCAATACTTTGCTAATGTTTTAAAAGCTGTTTTAAGACCAATAGATGTTTTTGAAAATACTGCTGCATCACCTACATAAATTAAAACAGATGTGTCTTCCTGCAAGTTTGTGGGAATAACAGTTTGCATTGATATAGTCCACCATGGAATTGATATAAAATTGAATATGTGAATATCCTTGCTTTTCAGTTATAATGGCACTGGTGAGGTGACCCTGGGGATTATATCTTACTTTAAGTGAGGTTCCTTCACGAAGCATACATATTAAATAAAGCAAATGTCAGTTTACCTAACGTCAAATGTCAGTTTGTCTTATCAAGGAGGCCTCCAATATTTTCCACAATTTAGAATCGAATAGAGTAGAATATTCTTTATTGACCAAGTGTGATTGGACACACAAGGAATTTGTCTCTGATGCATAAATTCCCAGTGTACATACAGACAATAAACAACAAAGTGATATAATTATAAGATACCATAATTATAAGATACCATAGTAGAAGATAATAGGAAAGATGAGAATGATAATAGAAATACAGTACCTGGGTAAATAACCTTTGACATAAGACAGTGTTGTGGGAATTAGGTGTTCAGCAGAATGATGGCATGTGGGAAAAAGCTGTCTTTGTGTCTAGTTGTTTTGGCTTGCAATGCTCTAGAATGGCATCCCTGAGGGGTGGAGTTGAAACAGTTTATGTCTAGAGGGGTCTATAGATATTTTCTCAGCTCTTTCTGGCTCTTGTAGTATACAAGTCCTCAATGGAAGGCAGGCTGGTTACAATTGTTTTTACTGCAGTCTTAACTATCTGTTGAAGTCTGTACCTGTCCTGTTTAATTTCTGTATCACAGACAGTTATAGAAGTACAAATGAGACACTCAATAATTCCTCTGTAGAACTGTATCAGCAGCTCCTTGAGCAGCCTGAACTTTCTGATGTAGGAAATACATTTTTCGTTGTGCCTTTTTAATTATGTTCTAATGTTAGGTGCCATTTCAAGTCCTGGGAGATTATAAAACCCAGAAAGTTGAAGATGTCTACTGTTGATAATGTGTTGCCTATTGTTGTAAGGGGTGGTAGAGTAGGAAGGCTTTTCTTAAAATCTGTGATCATCTCTGCAGTTTTAAGTGTATTCAGGTCTAGATTGTTCCAGCTGCATCACAGGTCTAGTTGTTCAACCTTCCATCTGTATGCAGATTCATCACCATCTTGAATGAGACCAATGACTGTTGTATCATCTGCAACTTCAGTAATTTAGTAAGTAGTTTGCTTATTGGTAAATTCTTCCTGTTGGCATTAATAAGGACTAGTACATCCTCAATATATGTTTCTTGAATGAAAACATTTAAATAAAGTAAAATTGGGAAATGATTGCTATCATTTCCTTACTTAGGTGTAATTTCTGGAGCTTTGACATAAGGAACAAGGTCACAAAAGGCAATTATATGGTCAATTGCACTCATTCTGGAGCCAGATAGATGAGTACAGGTCTCTTTCGTGGATCCTTTTTATCAAGTGAGATACATTCTATGATGGTTTTGGTCCACCTGCCATCAGTTCTTGTTATGTGACCAGCCCATTTCCACTTCAATTCATTTACTTTCTTGATGATATCATATACTATTGTTTGTTCTCTAATCTATGTGCAGATCTTTCTATCTTCTTATAATGCCCAGCATGTATTTTTCCATGGCCCTTTATGCCACTTGTAGCTTTTTTGAGATTAGTGTCCATGTTTTACCAGATATGTTAGAGCAGGTAGCACATACTGAATCAAAACTTTTCAGGCAAAAGGGGAGGCTGTTCTTTAAAATTTCTCCTTAGTTCTAAGTGGTTATCTCCTTGAAAGCACCTCTAATATTTCTCGTTGTTAGACTAGATATATTCAGTTCCTGCAACTGTTCTATATATTAGCCTCAGTCCCTTAATCATCTTTGTTGCTCTTCTTTGCACTCTTTCTAAAGTCTCATCTTTTTTGTATGGTGGTGACCAAAACTGAATGCAGTATTCCAAGTAAGCAATACTAACATTTCACGTGATCTTGATTTTATCCCTCTGTTGATGCAGCCTAGGACTATGTTTGGATTTTTTGATAGTTGCAGCACACTGCCAGCTCATATTTAAGTTGTTGTCCACTAGACCCCTCTTGCAGTTACTGCTATTGAATCAGCATCTATTCTATACCTGTGCACTTACTTTTTCTTGCCTAAGTGTAAAACTTTACTTTTCTTGCTACTGAATTGCATTTTGTTGGATCTGGCCCAGTGTTGAAATCTGTCGAGATACTTTTGGTTCTTGAATCTATCTTCTTAAAAGAGTTGACTCTTTCCCCCAGCATAGTGTTATCTGCAAATTCTATCCTGTCTAAATCATTTATGAAGAAGTTGAAAAGTACTAGACGTAAGCTGCATATTACCCTCTATGTAAATGTAGTTCCATTGTGAACTACATATTGAGTGTGGTTGGTAGTCAGCCAATTACAAATCCATCTGGTGGTGATGCTATCTAACCCACATTTATCTTATCAACTAGTACAGGGCTGTCAAACTCGCAGCCCGGATGCATAATTCACTGGCCACACCCATGATTGGTTTAGCGAAGGGGGTAAAAGTCACGATATGTCACATGACCATACCATGATGCGAGTTTGACACCCCTGAACTTGTAGGTTGTGGTTTACTTTGTCAAATGCCTACTGAAGTCCCAATATTATAGCAATAGCAATTCCCTGGTCCACTAATATAGTCATTTTGTCAAAGAATGCAAAAAGTTTTGTCTGGAATCATCTGTTTTTCACAAAGCCATGTTGGCTTCTAGATATAACTTTGTTTGCTTCTTGGTGTTTGCAGATTCATTGCTTAATTACTTTTTCCAAGATCCTCTCAGGTATTGATATCAGGCTGATTGGTCTGTAGTTTCCTAGATCCATTTTTTCCCTTTTTTGAAGGAACCAAGTCAGCAATTTTCCAATCCTCTGGTAGTCCATATTTCTTTTGAAAGATGTGGTTCTGAGATCACATCTCCCAGCTACAATTCTGGGATGTAATCTATCTGGTCCTCGTGATTTGAACTTATCCAGAGTGGGTAGGTGTTCTGTTAGCATTTTCTTGCTTATTTTGACTTGTATTCCTACTCTGTCTTTTACAGTACTATTTTTGATAGGTTGGACTGTTTTTTTCCTTTTGTGTAAAGACAGATGAAAAAAATGAATTAAGCAATTTCACTTTGACCCTGCTGCTCATCACCTTCTTGCCATCTTCTCTCATTTGTGAGCCAGTCATTTTATTTTATTATTTTTGACATTTGTTGCAAGCCTAAATTCATTTTGAGCCTTAGATTTCCTGACTTCATCACAGATTCAGGCTATTTGCTGATATTCTGCCTTAGTTATGTGTCCATCTTTCCACTTTTTATACTTGTCCTTTTTGTCTTTCAGTTTAGCAGAGAATTCTTTACACAGGCTCTCTTATTTTCATTTTTCAGTAGCATTCAGTAGCATTCAGTAGCATTATAATCTAATTTTTCAGAGTTTTCCAAACTTCTTAGGTTGTTTTCCCCTTGAGGATTTCCATCCATGGAATCCTTCCCATGCATTCTTCTCTAAATTTGTTGAAATCAGTTCTCTTAAAGTCCAAGACACTAATTTGACTTTGTTTTGTTACTTGTGTTTGCATTATGTTGAATTCCAATATTGCATGGTCACTGTTTCCCAAGTTCCCGTAGTTCCTTCTATCATTTCATCTCTGTTGTTGAAAATTAAGTCCAATATATCTGGCCCTCTAATTCCTTTCTTTACCTTCTGAAAGACAAAGTTGCCTGCTAGGAACATCAAGAAACTTTTTGATATTTAGGTGCAGAATTTGTCTCCCAGTTGATGCGAGAGTAAATAAAGTCCCCCATTATTATTGTGGTGTGCTTTCTATATATACGCTAACTGATTAGCAAAAAAAGTTCATTTATTTCCTCTATTTGGTTGGGCAATGTCATTCTTTTTTTTCTGCCTCCCCCCTCCCCCCCCTTTTTTTTCTATTAACTCAAATGCATTAAAGAAGGTTTTCATCATTGTTTTGTTGCATTTCTGTAGAGGTATAGTTTTTTCTTATATTCTTATTTAAGAATTGCACCCAGAAGCACTCTGGTAGTCAATGCAGCTCAAAAGGTCATGATGTTATGTGTGCCAAATAACATCCCATTAACAATCCATGCTGTCTCATTCTGCACCTATTGATGCTGCATGCTCTTCAAGGAAAGCCCCATGTAGAGTTTCTTGCAGTAGTCCAGACATACTAATTATTTGGCACATACTTATGGCTCAGGTTTATTATTCACAATCTGAATAATTGTCCTCTAATATAAATTCCAATAGACTGGACAGTAGTCTAGACAAGGGAGCATGAGTGAGGCCTCCTGGTACAAGAATGAGCTCGACTACTGCCCAATCAAAAGTTGCAAAAACCCTTTTGTCACCAGATCTTCAAGAAGGAACTGCAAGTGCAGGAGGACCCCCATATGGTGTCTTGGGCCTGTATGAGGCACAACCCCAAAACCTGAAACCAAAAATGGAAAATCCCCATAGTGAGCTCCATACACTCAATGTCACTCATCTTTGCTTGTGTTGAGCTGAAGCCTAGTTGCATCTCATTTGGGTCCCACACTCTGCAGGCACTGGAGGACCATATTACTCAACCTGGGATGGAGATATAAAGCTAAATATCATCAGGATATGGATGATACCTTACCACAAACCATCAGATACCCAGTAGCTTCATATATATGTTACATAAGAGGAGACAAGCCATAAATCTTGTCAGGGGGGATGCTATAATTCATATTTTTGCTGGTGATATAGGATGAAACAAATTAACTTTAATTGATCAGTTCAGAGAAAACTGGACAAAGATTTGAAAGATGAGCTCAAACACCTTGAAGAGCTGTATCAACGTTGTATAATAATAGACACCTCACGGAAAGAATTGAGGCAGGGAAAAATGGTAAGGGGAAAAGAAGTTATAGCCTTTCTTCCTCAATGCCCCCTCTAATTACTTCCATGGAATTCAATGGGGAAAAACCCCTAAAAATTGGAGAAACCAAGAACCCTGTTACCAGCAGAGAAGAAAAGAAGAAGAGATCAGAACTGTGAGTCCCTTGGGTGCATAGCTAGATTTTGTCTGGTGAAAACTAAAGCATTCAACATATCAATAAAATGTAGAATTTGTAAATCAACTAAGTACATAGACAGCAAATGCCCAGCACACTTCAAAGCAGAAACCAGGAAATTTTGCTAGCTCGCTTCCCAAGAGCTCCAAAGGAGGTCCTTCAAGCAACTAAGAAGAGCTCAGATGCCAACAGTAGGCAATACCAGTCAATCCTTATCTCAGATGCAGATCAGAGCAAGCACATACACCATTCAGTTCAGCTACCAAAAATATAAGTCATTGTTTATTTCTTAAACATCAGCAAACATAAAACATTGACTAAAAAGGTTGTTGATTTAAGCCTAAATATTATTTTACCTGGAAAAGTAAAATTTAATGCAGTCACTATGGCTTTCAAAGCAAAAATCTAACTTATAACATATGATATCTAATTTCACCAACATCTTATTTATATTTCCTTGGATGAAACTAATTAAACATTAGGAAATTTAATTGTATATATTTTTCATAATATGACATTATCATACTGTAGTTTTTTTCAAACAGTAAAATGTTATGTATTATTACAGGCAACCCTTCCTTGTTTTATGTTGTTTACTCAATGCTACTTACACATTTGTAAATGTCTAAGTAACATCAATTAAACAACATAATATAATTCCAAGATTTGAAAATCAATATAGCAAGTGTTTGCACTTTACTGAATACTTCTAATATATATTTAGTATATATTTCCAAAAATATGTTTGGAAATGTAGGCTAAATATATATTAGAAGTATCCAATAAGGTACAAACACTTGCTGTATTGATTTACAAATCTTGGAATTATTTGGCACATATTTATGGCTCAGATTTATTGTTTACCATCTGAATGATTAAATTGTTCTCTAATATAAACTCCAATAGAAAAGAGTAGAATTTTAAGCAACACTGTCTGACAAATAATTTCAATCTGTCATAAGAATATATAAGATGTCATGGAGTTCCCATCAATAAATAGAATGTCAAGGCAACAATAAGTAACAAACAAAAAGGAGAAGAAAAAGTCTGATAGGCAGCTGAAGGCATAAAAATATCTTCATACTTGTAAATACTGACCACATGCTCCGAAACCGGTGGAGAATCTATATCATGCCGAGTTATAGAACCTAAAATAGGTTAAACAAAAGAAAATATAAGAGAAATCATATTAACAATGAATATTGGATATGCCATAAAAAAGAAGGAACTTTTTACCATGTGTGATGGTTTTATATATATATTGAAAAAAACCCTTAAAAGTATTAGAAAGAAATTCTTCAAAATATTAAGAAAATTATAAAAAAGAAATTTTGAACTGGAACTACAAATAGGTATAATTAGGCATAATTCCAGGAAGTATAAATGAAAAATATAACAATTTATTAAAAGATATGCTAACAGCTGCAAAAATAAATTAGGCACAACATTGGAAAGGAGGAACTTTGCTGAGATACCAAAATTGAAGAATATGTAGCAATGGAAAGAGTGACAATTTCCATCCATAATAGAAATCAAGCCAAATTTAAGCAAGAATGGTTCCTATATGTACTGTACATTATCGTCCTTGTCAGCCATTCAGTCATGTCCAACCCTCAGTCAGTCTATGGATCAGCACTCTCCATACCCCTTAGTCTCACCCTGCCTCCTTTAGATCTGCCATGGTCATCCCAGTATCAGCCTTTATAGTGTTCAACCAGTGGGTACCAGGGCAGACCCTTCTCCTTTTTCCACTGATTACACCCAGTATGATTGACTTTTTGAATGAGTTGGCTCTCGTGATGTGACCAATATATGACAGCCTCTGTTTGGTGATCTTGACTTCAAGTTATATTTTGGGTGAGGTTTTGTCTAGACAGGGGTCCCCAAACCCCACTCCGTGACCTGGTAGCAGGCCGTGGCTCATTGGGAACCAGGCCATGCAAGTGGAGGGTGAGCACGCAAGTGCACAAAGCACAAGTGGCAGGTGCTTGCACAAAACCATCCCCTCTGGCTGCCTCTGCTGCTGGTCCGCAGCAGCAAAGGTTGGGGGCCACTGGTCTAGAACATGGGTGTCAAACTCGATCACATCATGTGACATCATATGAGGTATCATGAATTTTTTGCCTTTGTGGAGCCGGGGTGGCCGTGACCTGTCTGTGATGCATCTGGCCTGCGGGCCGCCATTTTGACACCCCTGGTCCAGAACTTCTTTGTTATTTTTGTAGTCCATGGAATGCATAATACTCTCCAGCACCACAGTTCAAAGCATCCACCTTTCTCCTATCTGCCTTTTTCAGAGTCTTCAGGTTTCTCAGCCATAAGTAGTAAACTATACATTGTATTGCATGGCAAATTTAGAATATTTGGAATATTCTTTTAGGAACAAAGTTATGGAACCAACAAGAATAATGAATGAAAGGATTTGATACTAACAATCATATATATAATATATAATGTAAAATTTAAGTATCTTAAGTTGAGGTTAGTGGTTAAGGAAATAAATGGAAGGGAGGGGGAGAATGTTTCCTGAGAATGTTTGTATTTAAGTCTTGTTTATATTTAATTGTTTCTCTTTTTGTTATTCAAGTGTTGCTATCCAATTTTTCTTTTGTATTTCATAATTCTAAAAATATATTTTTTGAAAGAAAATAATAATGGAAGCTGCTAACCACATACTTGTAATTGTGGCTTTTTTCAGTGATCATGTATGCATTTACATTGAGCAGGGAAATTGCACCCCCATTTATTAACTTGTTGAACACTTAAGTGGTTGGAACAATCACAATCTCTAACTGCCTAAATATCTGTGTCCACTTAAACCGCCTTGGTTTTTCATTGATCAATATCACAATACAGGTAGTCCTCAATTTACAACCCTAATTTATATAACTGAGCCCAAAATTCTGTTGCTAAGCAAGATAGTTGTGAGGCTTGTCTATTTTACAACCTTTCTTATCACAGTTGTTAAGTGAATCACTGTTATTATTATTAAGCTAGTAACATATTTGTTAAGTGAATTTCCCCGTTGACTTTCCTTATCAGAAAGTTGCAATTGTCATAAATACATGGCAGTTGACAAATGTGCAAAGTTTGATCATGTGACCATGGGGATGCAGCAATAGTCATAGGCATGAAAAATTGTCATAAATTGCTTTTTTTTTGGTGATGTTGTAACTTTGAATGGTCACTAAACAAGTGGTCATAAGTTGAGGGCTACCTGTATAGTTATCAGCAGGGAACAGCAGGGTAGTATGAATACACACAATTAACAATTAAGCAGCTAACAGTTTTTCTGTGCATCATATCATATTAAACCGCTCAAAATCACTTGATAGTGAAATGGGAATATAAATTTAATACATAAATGATGGGAAAATATAATTGCCTAAAAGAGATAGACTTCAAAACATGGACTCACTGACTGACAAAGCAAAGTATTAGTGATTTGAATTATTCCTCAGTGAAAGAATATCATCTTTTCACTGCTTTGAATTAATCTAAAAATACACACCTTTTTGAGTAAATGATTGACCAGTAGTATCATGAAATTGGCTTATCATGGGTCTCATATTGACAAGACAAAGAAAGCTAATATCTTCTTTCTCACTTTTTAATTGTAAGCCTCCCAGTCTGTTATATGAGATGGGTGGTGTTGAAATGGTGAAGATAATAGATAAATGGATGATAGATAGATAGATAGATAGATAGATAGATAGATAGATAGATAGATAGATGATAGATAGATAGATAGATAGATAGATAGATAGATATAGATAGATGATAGACAGACAGACAGACAGACGGACAATAATAAATCACAACATGAAGCTTCTTGGTTGAGACATGAAACATTTTCTTGTATCTCAAGGAATAAACAGTCCTGTTACCTTTTGAAAAAAGCACCTTTGAGAGTTAAAGGTATAATTTTGAAATATTAGTATTGGCAAAAATGCTTTTGATGTTATATGAAATTAATTAGACAAATAAACCAAAACTTTATGGTAATGTTGATTATTTGACATCAAAGGAAAAAGAAAATTGATGGATTTTACAAACAAGGAAATTATAATATGAAGCAGACTGTATATGTCAGAGCTGCAATTTTTTTTAATCACTTCTATTCTTTGCTTAGATGCCAGTCTGCCATATCTTACAGGGAGAGGGGAACTAATGGGGGAATCAGACGGGGAACTTGCAAGCATGAGAAAAGAAAAGCAATATGCCATCCCAAGACATCCATGGCCATGGCCACGGCCCTGGGAATGGAATGCAGCATTTATTCATCTATCAACCACAACAGGGAATGTTACAAAAACATCTTCTCTAAATACGACTGGACAATGGGGAGATAATGAGGGGGTGGCTTGGGAAGGGCAATGCAACAAAGATGCTTCCAGTGCGGTAAAGAGGGCCACCAAGCCATTAATTGCCCCTCACAATGCCAGACCCACACCTTGGCTCGAGGGTGTGGTACCTAAGTACCTAAGAAGGCAAAAGCAATGCTTAAAGGCAGAGAGGGAGCCCTGAGAGGAGTGGAGATTATAGAGTTCACCCCATTGTCCAGCAATCGTGAGGGAACTCCAATCAGAGGCCCACAAGTGGATCAGGACCATGAGAGCAGAGATGTCGATCCAATGATAGGTGGCCCCATTATCCCAGTAACGATCGAAGTAGAGCCATGGTGCAAGGGCATGCTAATGGCTCTTCTGGACTCTGGACCTGCTGCCTAGTTAACCCAAGAGTAGTAGAGAAGCTTGTACTGCAACTTCAGGAGCTAAAAACCCCAATAACTTTCATGCAGCTACATGGCTTGCTAACCGGGGGTGGGGGTGGGGGCAGCAACATTTATGACTCAACTGATAGAAGTAAAGATGAGGATTCATGAAGAGGCTATTTGATTTAGCATGACTCTGGGCATGGACCACTCAATGGTATCTACACTGGTGTGACTGCTAAAGTGGAACCCATCTATACTGGAAAAGAAGACTGTTGAAAATCTGCCAGAAACCCTTTGGGTGGGAAACCACAGATAAAGTGAAACAATGTAGCCATGTGCCGCTTGTTAAGAGAGCAAAGGGAGAACAAACAGCTTCGGGCCAATAGCTACCATAATTGCCTCAATTAGCTATTCCTAGCAAATACTAGAGACTGGAGCAGTGGTGGGTTGTTCCCAGTTCACCCTGGTTCAGGCGAACCGGTAGTGGCAGCGGCAGGAGGCTCTGCCCACTCACCCAGACGTCATTAAAAATGCTCTGTGCATGCGCAGAAGCGCCACGCGCTCGCAAAGCAAGCACGAACACCCGTGTGCTACCGATAGCAAACCAGTAGCGCCAGGATTTGAATCCCACTACTGACTGGAGGATGTGTTTAGCAAACAAGAGGTGGATGTGCTCGCCCCCCAACCCATGGACTGTACAATAGAGATGTTACCCAGGGTCAAATTATTGAAGCCCAAACTTTACTTGATGACAGTTAGAGGAACACAGAGCTTTCATTGACAAGAATTTAGCCTGAGGGTTCATCCAACCTGAAAAATAGCATATGGTTGCCCCAGTAATGTTTCAAGAAAAGAAAGTCTCCTAGAACAGTGGTCCCCAACCCCCGGTCCGCGGACCGGTGCCGGGCCGTGGAGTACCTGGCACCAGGCCGCACAGCGGCCGGGGGGACATGAACGCTGCAGCGCACGGCCCAGGAGCCTTTGCGCTGCAGCGTTCATGTCCCCCGGCCGCTTTTGCGCACTGGGCCGTGCGCAAAAGCTCCTGGGCCGTGCCCCCACCCCTGCGCGCGCTCAGCGGGCCGCGGCGATAAAAAGGTTGGGGACCACTGTCCTAGAATGTGCATGGATTATCAGAGGCTTAATGCAATTTGCATGGGAAAAGTGTATCCCTTGCCATTGATGAAAGACATGTTAAACCATTTGGCAAAAGGAAAATCTTCCCCAAACTACTATAGAGTTCACATTAGGGAGAGGGATAAATGGAGAACTGCTTTTAACTGCCTGCTGGGATGCTTCCAATTTCAAGTCTTCCCACTTGGCTTACAGGGAACCCTGCCATGTTCATGCAACTAAGTAATGAAGTATTACATGAGCACTTATATAAAGGCACCCTAGTTTATCTGAATAGCATTCTGATTTACAGCAAGATCA